GGGGGGGGGGGGGGGGGATAAAAAAAAATGGAAAAATCATCATAAATATAAGTCTCATCCTTTTTATGTGTTGTTTTATCAAAAAAAAAAAAAAAAGGAAAAAAGAAGAGTAATACAAGTACTAAACCGAAACATTTAAACACTTCAGGGGCCAAAGTGAGAGTCTCATACAGATCTACATATTTATTTGTTTCATAAATGGCATTTGTCGAATGCAATTTATAAGACACATTTATTGAATGCTATTTATTCTTGTTAATAGGTGAACCTTAATTTTCTCCATTCTCTATTCCCGTTTGGATCCGTATTCGTTATATATAAATTTTCTTTTCAAAATTTTAGTGTTTCATTTATATTTCTCTGAAAAAAATAAACTTAAACCGTTGGATTATTTCATTCAATCGGGACCGTCCATTAGTCGCAAACAAAAAGGTGCGCGAATGCTACATTTTGGACAAGATTTAGTATGTAAAAAGTTGTCCGTAAAGGAGACGTGCGTAAAAGAAATTTGGCTACAAGCTTAGAGGTTTAATTTAACTACTTATGTACTAAGCTTATATATTAAAAATAAGAATTAAGAGATCACTTGGTACCCCATATCCTGTTGTTGACTAATAACTTAATATTAGTGGTAGGGCAAAGGCAAACTACTCAGGATTAATTTAAGATTAAGATAACCATTTACAGCTCATATATTCTAGCAATTGATACCTCACTTTTTATTAAAAACAGAAAATATATTGTACTACAATTTGATACTAGATGGGAGTTGGGAGTTATATAGAAAGCACAAACATGATATATCACTTATATATATAAAAGCAAAATATAGCTAATAGTTGTTAGTTGTATAATTGAGTGAAACAACTCAAGGCAAAAGTAGCCAGAGATCAAACTAAAGTTAGACATGGAAAGAAAGATTGAGATAGTTTCTATGGAGTTCATTAAACCTCTTTCTCCTACTCCTAATCACCTTAGATGCTTCGAATTCTCTATTTTGGATCAACACGTATTAACCATACCTGTTCCCTTAGCTCTATTTTATCCTTCTCCTCATTCAGATGGTGGTGAGTCATACTCCTCCTATGAGCAAGCAAGATCACTCTATTTTGGATCACCTTAACGACGATGGGGTGCCTTTTTACGAGGCTTTTGCTCATAACTATCGGTTGGAAGATGTTGTTAGAAAGCCTGCAGATGTCAATAAAAAATTCCTCCCAATTACTGTTGAAGATGGATCATTACTGCCTGATTCAGCCTTATATCCCCTGCTTGTTCAAGTCACTTTTTTTGAGTGTGGAGGTATGGCTATTGGTATATGTGCTTCTCATAAAATTGCTGATCGTGCCACGTTGTGCACCCTCATCAGCGCCTGGTCAACAATTGCTCGAGGTAGCCCCGATTATCTGGTGCCAGAATTTGTTGCAGCTGCTAAATTCTTGCCACCACCAATTCCCCATGTTCTATCCAAGCCTATTATGCCTGAAGTACTAATCAAAGTCTTTTTTGATAAGCAACGTGTCACTAAATTTTTTGCCTTTGATGCTTCTACTATAGCATCACTCAAGGCTAAGGCTGTCAGCGATTCAGTACAAGGCCTACTCGCGTTGAAGTAGTATCAGCTTTGATCTGGAAATGTGCCATGGTTGCTTCAGGGAATGAGATCAGAAGGTTATCTCAGCTGGTGCACAATGTAAATATACGAAAGAGGTTAGTCCCTCCATTACCAAACCATAGTGTAGGAAACGTTGTTGCAATTAGCACATCATGTAAAGGTGAGAATGATGGCTCTGACTTGCTCACTTTGGTCACTTGTATAAGGAAAGCATTATCAGAAATGTCTTCAGAATTTGCGGATAAACAGAACCAAGAAGAGGCAATTTTGACCATACCCAATGTCAACGCAGAGTTTGCTGCAGCACGTTTTGGAGGGGAGATATATAGAGATAATACATATGAGTAGCTTGTGTGGCTACCAATTTTATGATTTTGATTTTGGCTGGGGAAGACCTTCATGGGTAAATCCAATTAAAGAGATAGGAATAAATGTTGTTATATTGATGGATTCAAGAGATAGCGGTGGAGTAGACGCATGGATATGCTTGAAGAACAAAGACAGTATGACAGTTTTTGAGCATGAGCTAGAGCTGCAGCTGCTCGCATTTGGATCTGCCAAATAATTGAAGAGCTTGCTGCATCAAGTTATTGCTTCAGTTCCTTTGTTGTTTCTTATTATGGGTGGAATTCGTATTTTTTTTTTCAGTTTTATTTTGAGTATGTTTTCTAAACATATAATGCATGTGTAAGTGTAAGAAAGTATCGCATTTGTAGCATAAAATTGAATGTTCAGTTTCTTTTTGAAGAGTTTCTCTATAGAAATATCTTTTGAATTAGACACTGATTCCACAAAACAGTACAATACAAAATGATATACTCCACTCCGTATTCTTTTTACCAACAAACAACGTTATATTTTTCGAGAATGCTAACAATATTATATATGTGTAGCATAAAGGCAGTGTTACAGCCATCTTTACAATTTAAAAGAACCAAAAACATACAGCTTTCTTCTAACTCCTACGACAGGGATTCACTACTAGAACTCCGGAAAAAAACGACCACAAAAAGTAACCAGTGTTGGTCGCTTATTGGCCAAAAAGCGACCAAACGTGCCTGGTCGATATTAAGCTGGTCCCTTTACCTTAGGGACCAAAGTTGGTCGTTAATTAGCGACCAACTTTGGTCTCTCAAGTCAAAGGACAAAATATTCCGGTAAAGACACTGGCGACCAACTTTGGTCGCTATATTATTTTAATATTATAAATTTTGCGACCAAAGTTGGTCTCATTTATGTAAATTTCGTTTTTTTTATTTATTATTAAATATAAAGTAGCGACCAACTTTGGTCTGTATACGAAATATTATATTTTAAAATCTGGAAAATTGCGACCAAAGTTGGTCGCTACACTATAAATTTTTTAATTTTTTTTTAAATAAGCGACCAAAGTTGGTCGCTAAATACATGAATTAATTTTTTTATTTATTAATAAGCGACCAACCCTGGTCGCCATATTTCCAGAAATTGTTAATTTTCTGGTAAATAGCGACCAATCTTGGTCGCTTTTTGGGAAATCTGGGTTAAATAGCGACCAACCTTGGTCGCTATTTCACAGAAAATTGTTTTTTTTTTAATAGAAATGCGACCAAATAGCGACCAAAGTTGGTCGCTTTTCTTGGTATATTGCTGGCAGGAACTGCCTCTTTTGGCAGCTACACCACCTGCCAGCTTACCAAAATTCCTAAATAGGCAAATATGCCAACAACAGCAACAACAAGCAACAACAACAACAACAACAACAACAATTATAACGAACAAAGTATAAAGTTCAATAGAACTTTATACTTTAAGCTAATTAGCAAACTAATAAGTTAAATGTTATTACAGAACCATTCGAAAACCAATTGTATTTGTCTAGCATAAACTAATAAGTTCAAAGATTGTTCTCTACATCATTATCATCACCGTCTGATGAACTTTCTTCACCATGACGGTATCTAGAATGGGCTATTTGTCGATGATGGGAAGAATGACCACGGGGAGGACGGGAGGAATGAGCACGGGGAAGGCGAGCCTCTGGCGATGACTCACGAGACCGGGGAATTGAAAAATTGCCAGAAGCTAGGAGAGTTTTGATCTGCTCTTGCATGCCCTTGCACTGAGCTTGCATGCCAGAGTACTGCATATCTCTAAGCCTTTCTCTCTCCTTGGCGGCTTCTAGCTCGGATGTGAGCTTTGCCACAGTCTCCCGCATAGAGGAGAGGCTCTCCCTATCAAGTTGCTCGGCTTGGGAGGAAGTCCCTAATACACTTATACTTAGTGCATATATATATATATATATATAAACACACACGCACGCTTCGTAGTACTATTCATCCCTTGTATTACAAAAGTGTTAACGGCTAAAATTTATATTATTTATTTAGTAAATACAAAAGTGATTTTTAATTTTGACCAATGTTGACCTAAATAGCGGCCAACTTTGGTCGCTAAATATACATAATTTTAAATTAGCGACCCAAGTTGGACGCTAAACTTAAATCAGATTTATTTATCTTTTTTATTATATTTAAAATATTAACCGGGTCCCAGATTAGCGACCAAAGTTGGTCTATACTCTACTGAGCGACCAACATTGGTCGCTAAAGTTGAATTATATTTATTTATATTTTATAATTTTTTTTAAACAAAATTATAATTATTAAAATTTTATAACTGGGTCCCAAATTAGCGACCAAAGTTGGTCTCAACCTGTTTTCTCTTTATATAGCGACCAACTTTGGTCGCTAATTTTAAATTTTATTTATTTATATTTTGTTATTTTTTAAAAATAATATTATAATTATTAAAATTTAATAAGTGGGTCCCATGAAGCGACCAACGTTGGTCGCTAATCTGAGTAATTCTTTGACCAAGCAAGTCTGACCAGTCCGGTCAACAGTTTGACAAAATTTTCGACCAAGTTGCGACCAACGTTGGTCGCTAATTTATTTAAAATTATTATTTTATTATTTTCACCAGTTTAGCGACCAATTTTGATCGCTTTTGCTAAAGTTTGATCGCTTTATGCAGGAATTCTAGTAGTGATTCTACGATATCTAATAGTGAAGCAACATCCTGTACAAAATCCTTCTTACACCAAATGGCCCACCACCAACCAACAACATATTACGTACATAGTAATAAAACTAATGACGTGGTTCTACTAATAGTCACTGCCTAGCTAGCTTCATTATTCCCATAATATCAGAACCATTATCGTCTCAGAAACACTAATATAAAATATACGTATAATTAGATTCGACATGATCTGATCCAAGGTGATCAAATGCTGGAGATCATCAACTGCGTCTGCCTCTGTCTCTGCCTCTACCTCTGCTAGTCGATCCCTGTGTGGCGGCGCTTGTGCTCGAAGTACAGCAATAATGTTAGTGAAAGAAACGACCCATAGACAAGTTGTAAGTCCAAATCCAAATTGCCCATAGACAAGATTCACCGTAAGCAAAAAGAGTACATTCAGTACCCGAAATTGTCTAGGGTCCGGCCTACTCACGAGCAGCACGACGAAATAGAAGACAGTTGCAGCAAGCGCAAACAGAATTACGTATGGGTGAATTTGTTTGTGGTACAGGTGGTTGAAGAGAACCGCTACACATAGTGCGACAAATGGGCATAGGGTATGACAATGACGGCGTGCTCGTACTAGATTCACCCCGTAGTAACAAATATAACAGCGGCGGAGTAGTACCAGAACTACTTCAGCCAACAAAACGAAAGCAGCTGTACAGATAAGCCATGCTCCGTAGCCAAAAGCAGAGGCAATGAGAAACACCACAAGTGTAGCCCAAAACTTTTGCTGCTCAGTGTTCATTTTTCTTAGCTAAAATGGGTTAGTTAGTAGTATTAGAAAATGTGTTAGCTGGTGAGAAAGATGAAGGAGGAGGGCGTAGATTTCTGCCTGTTATGTGTTTATGAAAATGTGGAGATGAAGTTTTGGGGAATATTTGGTGATGGGGTAAAAGGATGAGATGAGAGGAAGATAAGTGAAAGAACGAGAAAGGTGACAAAATCAAATCCCTGTCCATGATTTTCTTCCAAAAACAGTCGAACCTTTCCCCAAAAGGTACATTTCTCCTCTTAACGTGCTGGCTTCCCCCTTCCTCTTTCTGGAAATTTTAATTACTCCATCCATTTGAATTTAGGCGATTAGTTTGACTCGGTACAAAGTTTAAGAAAGAAAAAAAAATTATGGTCTTAAAAGCTTAAGAGGTAAAAATTTTGTGGGGCCTTGACATTTGTGCAGCTACAAGAGCTTTTCATTAAGTCCAAAATAAATAAAACGAAGAGTTTAAAGTTGAATTATTTCTAATCATAAAAATGTGTCATTCTTTTCTAAAAGTGTGTCATCTTAATTGAATCAGAGTGAGTAACTATTCACATATCATTGCAAAGAAATTTTTCTGGCAGCAACGTCGCGCCACTGCAAAGGTATCATTTTTACTGCTACAACGACTAGTCAATTACACCCTCCGGTCCATAATAAGTGACCAATTTGCTTTTTTATTTTGGTCCAAAATAAGTGTCCATTTATATAATCAAGAAAACATTCAACTTATTTTTCCAAAATTATCCTTATGTACGTATCCCTAAAAAGTCATTTACTCCTCACATTTGAGAAGAGAAGTAAGTGCTACTATAACTATGGTGCAACATTTAATAAAGGGTAGTTTAGTCACACTAACTATTTTCGTCTAGAATTTAATATTTTCTTAATGGGCGTGTCCAAAGCAAATTGGTCACTTATTGTGAATCGGAGAAAGTACTAGGAAGGTTTTTGGGTTTTGAAAATCTCCAACATAATTAAGATAAAAGTATTAAAAGCTTAGTCGTGCAATTTTTAGCTTTGTGGAAGGAGTATTGTTATTTGTGAGGCTTAATCATTTGCACGGACTAATTTTTCATTTTATTTGTGGGAATTTGATTATTTATAAACTATTCCTAATGAGCGATCAACTTATGTTTTGAGTATATTTAAAAATCGACTAAATCGATCGAACC